CAGCAGGGGGCTCAGGGCAGGGAGTTGAGGAGCAGGAGGTGTGCGGGGTGTGGGGTGCAGGAGGGGTGAGGGGTGCAGCAGGGGGCTCAGGGCAGGGAGTTGAGGAGCAGGAGGTGTGCGGGGTGTGGGGTGCAGGAGGGGTGAGGGGTGCAGCAGGGGGCTCAGGGCAGGGAGTTGGGGTGTGGGCAGGGCCGGCTCCAGGCACCAGCGCAGCAAGCAGGTGCTTGGGGCAGCCAACGGAGAGGGGCGGCACATCCAGCTCTTCGGCGGCAATTCGGTGCCTCACTCCCTCTCGGAGTGAAGGACCAGCCGCTGAATTGCCACCAAAGACTGAAGCAGCGGTGGTAGAGCCAAAGTGCTGCAGATTGCGATCACGGCTTTTTCCCCCCCCCTCTTTTTGTTGCTTGGGGCGGCAAAAACCCTGGAGCCGGCCCTGGGTGCGGGAGGGGTGAGGGGTGCAGCAGGGGATTGGGGTGCAGTGTGTGGCAGGGGGCTCCAGGCAGGGGGTTGGAGTGCAGGAGGGGTGAGGGGTGCAGGGTGTGGCAGGGGGCTCAGGACAGGGAGTCGGGGTGCAGGAGAGGTGTGGGATACGGCAAGGGGCTTGGGCAGGGGGTTGGGGTGCAGAAGGGGTGCGGGGTACGGGCTCCGGCCTGGCACTGCTTACCTAGAGCGGATCCGGGGTGGCAGCGCCGCGCACCACGGCCAGGGCAAGCTCCATGCCTGCCTGCCCTGTCCCCGGCCCCGCTCCGCTACAGGAAGCAGCCGGAGTCCCTGGGGGCAGAGGGGAAACAGCACCATGTGCTGCTCTTGCTGCTCTTCCAGGTACCTCTCCCAAAGCTCCCATTGGCCGCGGTTCCCAGTTCCCGGCCAATGGGAGCTGCAAGAGCACGGAGCCTTCTATTTGCCTGCCTCCCACCCCCTGCCCGGGCTGCAGGGACATACAGTAGTTCAGCTGCTTCAGGGAGCGGCGTGGGGCTCGCGGCGACACGGGGTGGGGTGGGGAGGCAGTGGGAATTTTGGCGGGCCACATGAAAGAACCCCACGGGCCACATGTTTCAGACCCCTGAGCTAGACACAACTAAGAGGCATCTTCAACCTCAGTTCTGCAACTGGATCCACATGGGCAGACCCCTGCAGCTGTATGGAACCCCATAGACCTCAATGAGGATCTTAATGGATGGAGAACTCTCTCCATGTACCCTGTTTCCCCGAAAATAAGACATCCTCCGAAAATAAGGCCTACTTACAGTTTTGCCTCTTGTTGTAATATAAGGCATCCCCCCGATAATAAGACCTCCCCGATAATAAGGCATCCACCGATAATAAGGCATTTTTCATTTCTGAAAAATAAGACATCCCCTGAAAATAAGACCTAGCGCATCTTTGGGAGCAAAAATTAATATAAGACACTGTCTTATTTTCGGGGAAACAGGGTAGATCCAGTTGCAGGATCAGCACCTACTGCCCTGGCTATACTATAGTTTTACTATATATACACACTATAGTTTTAGCTCTGCTGGTGAAAACTTCCAGTATGAATGAACTGCATTTATTGTAGATGTAAAATGTAAACCATTCCAGTAAGTTACCAAAGTAAGTTGGTCTGGTACATGCCCTGTTTTTCACTTTTGTAGTGCCTAAAATAGAGTTACATTGGGTCAAAGAAATTAGAAGACTATTAATACAAATGGGCAATTAACACCTATTTTATATCAAATGAAAGTTTAATGTATTTCCCTCTTGATTTAGACTACTCTTTTTTCCCCTTTATCAATCTTTAAATCCTCCACTCCTACCTTTCCGGTTCCTGAGCCCAGATCTCTCCTCTTTTACTCTGTCTTCTTTGGTTTTCTGTTCTTCAGAGATTTCAGGCTACAGAATTGCCAACCCTAAACATTCAAAATACATGAGATAATCTTAAAATACAACAACTACTTTAGGGGCCTTTTATCTGCCTTCTGGTGTTTGAGCCCTTAGGGGTCCATTTACCAGCTTTTCTTGGCAATTAGCAGGGCTAGAACTCACCTTTTAATAAATGAAAGGTTCTCACATAGTTACACAGTTCTAGGAGCTGTGGGTTATCAGCAAAACACCAAATGTTGCAGGGCCCATGGTCAAATCGTGAGAGTTGGGAGCAATAGGTTTATGTGGTCATTTATGCCCTTGTTTCTTTTTCTTCCATTTCATTTTTTCTCTGTTTCCTGACACCTGGACCAATTCATATGCTACAGGTTGCAGTCTAACTGCTCAAGATATTACCTCACCCACTTCATGTCTCATGCAGAAGTCAGAGAGGATTTATGCTGGCAGTACTGCCTACCAGGCTGTATCACCCCTTTGTCCTAGAGTGTGCATCATTACCTCACACCTCAATCTCTCTGACTCCTGCTTGCTACTTCATTCCACTCAGCTTTCACTTTTAAGGGGGTGGGGCACTGGCTAATTGTGTGGGCTGTAATTGGTTGTGACTTTGTCTCACTTATCTGTTCCCCTGCTCTGCTTAGAAATCCCAAAGCAGTGGCTCTTCTTAACCTTTCAGACTACTGTCCCCTTTCAGGAGTGTGATTTGTCTTGCGTACCCCCAAGTTTCACCTCATGCACATTGGAAAAAATAACCCCAACTATACATACAGTTTTCAGAGTAGCAGCCGTGTTAGTCTGTATCCGCAAAAAGAACAGGAGTACTTGTGGCACCTTA